CTGTACTACCTGTAGTAAGAGCCTGTTGATTAACTGTAGCAATAGAACCTGTACACGTGCCTGCCTTCTCCGTCCGTGAACCCACACCGTGACATTACGTAGCTCCTACCTATAGGCACGTTGCGACCCATCATGCCTATCCCCCGTCCACCTTATCTGCCCGACACCATCGAAGACTTGCAGGGAGACCGGTTCCAGAACTGTCTGCCCCAATGGCTAGTCTACATCCAAGAGTCCTGCCGTCTTCTCGAGGAAACGGACTCCGCCGTCGCGAAGGCGGAGGAGGAGACCAACCAAGCCAAGCTAAAAGCCGACGCCCTTAAGCAGCAAGCCATCTTCCTGACCGACGAGAAGAATGAGGCATTACGCCGGATGGAGGTGCAGATCCAGAGGCACCTTGCTGTGATCGAGTACCAGAAGGAACAGCTCCGAGAGAAAGATGAGCGCTGCACGAAGTCAGAGATTGAGAAGGAGAAAGCTCTTGCCCTCGCGGCTCCAACGGTCCCCACCCCCAAGACCCAGAATAACCCGGCCTTGCCTACTGAGATGGTAGCAGATTCTACACCGCGAACGTCTCCGCCTATTATTACCACACCTCCCGCCTCTTCTCGAGCTTCCGAACGACTACCAGACCCTGAAAAGTTTAACGGTGATCGAAAGGACCTCCGCCGCTTTGTATCCCAAATCAGGGAGAAGTTAACTGTTAACCTGGACCGATTCCCTACCCCCCAAAGTCGCTGCGCATACGTTACTAGTAGGCTTGCTGGACAGCCCTACTCTCAGATCCTGCCCTATATCCGAGACGGAGTGTGCCAGCTACCCGATTACCAAGACATTCTGGACATTCTGGACCGAGCCTTTGGTGACCCTAACCGAGTTAATAACGCCCGCAACGAACTTTACCGCCTCCGCCAGACTAATCGAGAATTCAGCACCTTCTTCGCAGAGTTCCAACGCCTAGCCCTAGAGGGTGAGATGCCGGAGGAGTCACTACCCACTATGCTGGAGCAAGCTATTAACCGGGAGCTCCGAGCTATGCTTCTCCACCACGAACCCCCTAGCCGACAGTATCTAGCATTCGCCCAGTTTCTGC